AAAAAGTAACAGACTTAAATACAAATTCTAACAATCAGTTAGTTGCAATATACTCTTAATTCTATTTTTTGTCTCACATCAATTTTATGAAATAGACAAGTCGATGTTATAATATATTATAGAGAATTATGAAGAGGTCATGGTATTGAAAATAAAGCACAGATATGCTCCAAGTTTATTTTTTCACTAAAATCGTGAAGATTCAATTTATTGCGTGTACCATGAATCCACTACAAATTCAAGAACGCCAATGAAACACAATACGGTAAACAAAGTAATTTTTTTGATTAGCTATCATGATCTCGCACACTTTGATGTCAGAGCGTCGGTTGCATCAATTTCCAGACAATCGGTTCGTTGATGGATGCACGCCATGTTACTTACGCTCTCAGCGTAATTGTAAACAACCGGTCGCACGCGTGGATGGTTCGGGTCTGTTGCTTATCATCGTGACAGGTAGTTAAAGTGAACAGAAGCAAAAATTGAATCGCGATGATAATGTGTAACATTAGACACTAGAATTCTTTCTAAAATACAAACTAACTTCTAACTTTCTAAATTAACAAAATAATTATATATAATTATTTAATACATACACATTTAGAAAAAATGACAGCATGATAAAAAGATATAACAAAATTTTGTTATAATATGAGTTATAATCCGTATCGCACTGAATTTCGTTATCTGATTAGCACTCATTTCTCGGAGCAATTGTTGACAATAATAATATATTACTATAATGTAATGAATAATTTTAATAAATAAGAAATTCGTAGTTTTTTTTAATGCCAAGAAACAGAAAAAACTGTTAATTTTTGTCAAGTTATCTGCGATTTTAAACGTGATTCTTAATTTATTGCTGATTAAAATTCTTTAGTCTGTTATCTCTGATAAGAGATTGCAACCTGTTTTAATTACTCTGATGAATTTTCAAGGTTAGGCGGTATTATGAATAATTCAGCGCGTCGCGAAATTTCGACAAACGCTCCTCGAACACTCAAGTACCGATGATTCGGCTGACTGACCTACTCTCTTTTCATTTCTGTCTATTATATACGTGCGAAAGGATGCTCGACGTTTTTTGGGAGAGATGACAAAAATGTGCGGGTATCTGTGAACTGTGAAATCAGCGGATGTTATGCAAATTTTAATCAAGAACGAGAGAATGTGAATTCATTAGAGTATCGAATATGCAACATTATATAGTAGATAATAGATATATTTCCATGCAGTTTTTATAATTAGTCTAAAATATCTTAAAAGTGACAAATTATTTTGTAGTGAATTTGAAAAAAATAGTATTATTTACTTGTCAGACTAATAATAATTAAAGCATGTATAAATAATTGAACTTCATTAAATTTCCTAATTCAACAATTCGACGACTCTTACTCGTATAAATTCTCTCTCAGGGGAAATTGCAAGTCTATTTTAAAATTCTATATAATTCCATTGCTAACATAAGAGCTAACAGTATGAAATGTGTGTGTCATGTAATTCTATTTGAAATTGAAGCTTAATATAATTCTATTACAGCCAGAATTCAACATAATTCTAATTTGGCATCGAGTTAGCATAGAATTTCTAGTTGTAGTAGAAATATATTGAACGCTAATTTTAAATACAATCACGATACACGCATTTTTTTAGTAACTTCATGTTGCAAAACGTCTTGGAATAGGATCATGTAGAATTATCTTTTAGATATTTTTATACGAAATACTACTCTGAAATAATATATGAATAGCGAACTCCGTTGAATTCGTCGTTGGTCTAATTTTGCCATTCGTCATTAACCGACAATTTTCAGCGGCAGAGTTTCAATCAAAATCTCTTCCCTTCAAGAATTTGTAGGTGAACTTTTTTATTATTTCCTCGATCTCAGTGTGCAATTTGCCTTGCACATCAGAATTCCAAGCAATCTCATGCGCATAGAATGACAGTAAACTAGATACGGCGTCCAAGCCACGAAGAACAAGATAAATGTCTAATACGCTATTTCCTTGGCTGCCAATCCATTACCGTTCTTGCCCTTCGCTCCCAGCAGCAGTTGGATCTTGTCTGCTGATGGAATCGCTTGTTAGGAATATAACTTCAATGGTCTATGAGATTGGAATAGTGAAATAAAATTACATTTTACAGCGATCGCACTGGTGTATGATCGTTATTATAGGATTGCACGTGTCGGAGAGATAGATAGCTTTTGCAAAGCAATTGGTGAAGCGGAAGTATTTGGAAGTATACAAGGGTTGCTATAATTTCACGTTTTCAATTGACAACTAAATATTTCGTTAACAATAAAAAATGCAACACATTTTTATGCCAATACAAAATTCATATTACAAAAGACGTCGTATATTATTGTAGAATAGTGAATAGTTATAGCTAGTTTATAGTAGGGTCGTGACGCCTTCGTGTTGAAGTCATGCAGATCTGACGAAGTGAGAGGTGTAAGATGCGCTTTCTCTCTCTGGTCACGCAGTTCCCTTGTTCTTCAGAAAAACTCCCTTCCAGGTCAACCTAACAGAAAGGAGAGAGAACTCCCGAGGGGAAAGGCAGTTGTTGAAAAGCCCTGACAGAGAAAGGAGAATTTGAAGGATCGCCGAAACATTTCTGTTGCATAAAGTATTTGAAGCTCATTTCATGTACTTTTAAGTAGTACATTAAATTTTACATTTAGTTTTTTATTTAATCGAACCTGCATTTGTTCCCTCATTTGACCAACACTTCCCAATTTGACCATTTGACCTTTATTTTTTATTTCATTATATTTTGTGAAATCAAACAGCAATTAAATGATCCAGCAGTTATTTAGTTGATAATTAGTTTGTTTAAATCTTTTTTCTCGAATGTTAGAACAGTTTTCAAGCTGCACAGACTGAATTGGTAATAGACAATATTTGAGATAAAGTTATTTACTGATTTGATTAAAAAGTTTTTATGCATTGTATTCATTTATACAAAAATACATTTCTATCTATACAATAGATGTTTGCACATCATTTACAGATAGCAATTACAATATTTTTGTGACCGGTCTTAGAAAAGTCTGTTAAAGCTCGTATTTCAAAAACTTTGAATAAAAACATTTAATGCGAAGGTTAAAATAAAAAAATATCTCACTCCGGCATCCAGGTCACACAGAAGTATTTGTCATTCAGCTGTTAGCATCGTACGAGACATATTATAAATTAAATACATGTTACTGACGGTTTGAGGTTCTAGTGCTAATGAAGCATCTGTGAAATGGGAGATAATACGATACGCTATGTAACGGTAATGGCGAGTATAACGTTAAGGGGCTGACATCGGGTACTAAAAAATTATTGGTATCCCGTAGACCACCATTATTGTACCAGCATGCTATGGGAGTCATGTGTAGTCGATGGAAGAAATACAATTTCTGATAGGACGAAAGTGAATGTAATTTTAAGGTTCCCTTGAAATTAATTTTCTTCTTATTTTAAAAAATCTATTATTCGTTCATGAAATTAATTAGTATTAGTCAATCCTTTTATCAATTCTTATACTTATAAAACGACTTGATAAAAAATAGATTATATCTTAATATCAAAGGAATTCACTAGTATAGATTTTCTCTTTGATGGAGTTTATTGAATTGATGCATTCTTCAAGATTCTTCATATATCCTTTCAAGGTTTTTTTAATTAAATCTTTTATATTAAATGACACGAAAAAAAAAAATATCATCTTATTTTAGGTGAAAATTCTTATTAACAATTCTTATTGACAATTTGTATTGCAAATTCTAACATCGAAAGAGGTGAAATAAGAATATAAGATTAAGAAACCTGTTACCAAGCAGAAAGTGTGTCATGAATAATAAATATGTTAAGAACTCAGGAAGGAGTCAGACAATGGAGGAGAGAGTTCTCTAAAGAGGCACTGTTATTTGATTTTTAGAGTGGCAGTAGCAACAACAATGGTGACGGGGGCATAAAAATGGGATCGGCAGTTGGTGGCCGGCGGCCACCCTCGCAACAATCGTTCCACTCGTCGAAGAATGTCCATTCTCATCACTCCCGGCAACAGACGACCTCCGCTCCCCTGTCTACCCCACGGACCGCCAGTCAATTACCCGAAACAGCGAATCGCTGTATACGTAAGTACAATTACGAATATTTGTCAATAATTAGACTGCGGAATTTTATGCAAACATTTTATAACGTTACTTTCAAATAGATTAGACATGTTGATATTTCGAAATTTTTATGTACTTGATGTATTGTATTATACAGGATGTCCCAGACTGCACAACATTTTTCTGAGGTTGTGAAAGAGTGTGAAATTCTCAGTGAAAAGTTCTCTCCCATTTTTTCCTCCAACTGCTATTAGCAAAGTTATTAACGTAGAAACTGGATCAATGACACGGTTCGGTACAACTGTTTCAAAGTGGAAGACGGTGTGGCACGTGGCCTCGTTCTGTGTGACACGTCATTGATCCACTTTTTTCATTAACAACTTTGTTAATACCGATTGAAGCTAGCACCCTCTTTCACACCCTCAGAGGAATGTCGTGCATTCTTGGATATCCTGTATAATGCATTATATGTTTACTACGTTTCGTAATTCTTTTCCTTTTTATTCTTTTGTTTGTCCTGAGTTTTACGTCGTATAATTTTCAATTCTTAACTTTCATAGTCTTTTTTATTTCCTGTGCATACATAAAGATTCGCAGTCTAATCATCGCATACATATCCATAAATTATCATTTTTCTACATGAACACAGTACGAGCAAAATATGATGTTGTGTTTGAGTTGATCCTCCGTTGAATTATTAAAATTATCAAATATTACTCCAGGCCGACAGACTATCTCATCAAGCATATTCCAATATACGTATGTATAATTAATACGTTTATTTTCATTCGTTCCGTTGCTTTTCAATCATTAAAAGAATGGACAGCCTGAAAGAGGAGTACACAGCTATCAAACAATCTGATAGGAAAAGTTACATCTATCGATCAACGTCCCCTGTGAAAAATGGCGTGTGCGTTGGAGAGATACTCGAAAATCTAAGAGCCGCTACGTCGATAGCGAATCGGAGTCAAATATTTCGGCGACGTTATCTTCGGGCTTGAGCGACGCAACTAAACTGATCGATCCAACAAATTCCTTTCAGTTTGATCATCAAAGTAAAGCTGGGTTTAAAAAAGGCGAGTTGCAAGATCCAGCGATTACATTCAAATGGTTTGACTGGATATCTGTCTACATTAATTCCAGTCTATTTTGAACAGTTGAAAGCGTTAAGACTGTTGCGGCAAACAATTCATATAAAATGAACTGTAAAATAGTGGATTTAGAAAGTAGACTTCCTATCTAGTTGTTAAATTGGATTGTTTATTAAAAACATTATTTATGTCGTGTTAGATAAAATTCGATGTAGTATTGGACTATTAGGCCACTGTAAACCTCAAATCCTCAGCATGTACAAAAGAATCGGTAAACCGCAAATGTTTGTAGGATTCGTAGACCAGGGAGCGAGTTACAGTAGAACACTTGATTAAAATTAAACTTTAATTATCATTACAAATTGAATACATTGAGTGAACACGTCCGAGCGCCGAGTTCACTCTGCTAGTACTACTCTCCAACAACTATTTCCATTACTTCATGCCATGAAAACAAATCAAAGGGCCCGATCCCACTTACTGTTACTTTATCTCCTCACAGTGCAGGCGACCGAAATAACTCGTTCATAGGAGAAACCGAACTAAACCATTGTAGCCGCTTATCAGATGCAACGCGTATTGGTGTAAATTGTTATCTCTACAGACATACTCGTTTCATGGCAGAATATTCGGCAATTTCAGATTTTGATACAGTTTGGTATATTGCTAAATAAAGTTTTCTAAAAGACGCAGTTTTCTCAGAGAGCGTAGGTACTTGTGTAAGTGAAAGTGTAATTAACTATAAACATTTAGTTTGTATTATTCTTGTGTATATTCCGTCAATTTTTGTAGAGGTGTAGATTATTCTAAGCTTCTTATCGAGCTTTCACGTTTTTTTAACGAGGCCCCCAGTTTACTTGGTTTCTATGGTCCAGTATCAGTTATTGACCAATTCTATAAACCAGCATGTTGAGCTTTAGACTGTTATAAAAATTCAATATCTATCATCCACGTCTCTAGCTTCTTGAACTAAATATTATTTATGTACCTTTTTTCATTTATTAGTGAAAATCTACTTTTTTCACGTTTTGTTTTACAAGTTAAATTCAGGGGTTGAATGTACAGTCAATTTAATCTGAAACAAATAATTAATACAATTATTATCATCGGAGAACTCACAGGTTTCGTATGCTAATATCCTGTCGTAAAATGTTATTAAACTTCACTGTTCAATTTGTATTGTTAGCAATATCACGTAGTCAAAATAGACTTCATCAGTCCGGAATTGACATGTCGGAAGCTTGCTAATATTCTTACAGACCATGCCAATTATTGAATGTTTGTTATTGCTCAAACGTATTACAAAACTAATGAATCTAACGAAGAATATACATAAATCGTACACAATAAACAGGATATCAAAATATTACTATATTACTATTGAAATGAAGTGTATTCAATAAAAATCGTGAGTGTCACTACATTCTATTTTAAAAGAGACAGGAACAAAGATTTTTTTTATGATCCTTCGATTCATCAAGAAAACATCATTTTTTAATGAAATTTCAGATGTACTCTTCTATTTGAATACTTTTCATAATTTCTTATTACATAACGTAGTCTGCATCATAATTTCTTTTTCTGTTGCAGATATTAGATCGTCCTCAAGAAATATCGCATCTACGAGGAATCAACAGAGTATCACAAAAATGTTGCTGCTGATCAGTACAGTCTTCATTATTCTTAATTTACCCAGGTAAGCGAATAATGTTCGCCACTATTACTTATTTTTATATATCGTATGGTTTTGTACACATCCTGGTTTTATGTATTTAGTATATGCATAAATTGCTTGAAAATTGAATTACAATAAAATTATTTAAGCATCTACTGCATGAATGCAAAGATTATAATATCCAAATTAGCTACTGTATGCGTCACAATGTTCTGCATATTCGAATACTGCATTTATTTGACTTCAACGAAATACTTATGTTACCGCATCTGTTTTTGCTGGGATCTTGTTTCACGTTTTAATTAAACATTGAACGTGTTCAGCGAAATACTGCGTACAAATTCTTGGACATGAAAATATGTAAAACTTACGAATAAATGATCTTGTTATTATCAAAATTAATGGGAGAGAAAAGCAATAGAGAAACAGCAAGTACAAGTGTATTAATTGAAGCCGTACGTGTACGCTGTTCGTCTATGATACGTGATGCAATGCTTCAGTTCTCTTTCAAAGAATCTCAGATTGTAGTAAAAAGTAAAAATGGATATTTATACAATTGTTAGTTCGTAAGAGATTGAAGAATATATATTTTTGTATTTTTTTTATACGTAAAAAATTTTATAGATTTTGAACTAATGTTACATATGTTAATTGTTTAATTGAAACCATATTATATGTATGTTACGTTTCATTTCAGCTTCACTATGAAATGGATTTGGTTTGCAAATGCCTAACTATATTATGCCATCATTTTAACCATTCACATTTCCAGGTTTCCATTTCCACTTTTTCTACTGTTTACATATTTCTACCTACATTCATATTACTTAAATTCTACATTATTATCTATCCCTACTGTTTTTTCTTATTAAAATCTCATTATATTTAAATATCGTCATCTTCTTGTATGTTAACTTGTCCAAGAATTTTAATAAATGTGAATGTAGATTCGTTTGAGATTTTATGAAAATACTAAGTATTAAAAATTAGCTGCTAAATTAATTAACTGCTCAGGTATTTAGGAGATAACGAATGTCAATTTCGATTCTCGTGAGAGTTACTATTCAAACATAAAGCTTGGTTATTCGTGCCATCCATATCTGACTTGTCTTTGCATTTAATATTTTCCTTTGTACATTGCGCTTTGACGATGAATATTCGGAGAGTTAACAGTTAATTAAATATTTGTGGTGTGAACCAAGCATTAAATCTGCTTTCCTTGAGAACGGAATGTCACGTAAAATCAACAGGATATTATCCGTTCATGTTTCTCTTTCTAACAATAAGTCTCTTCTCGCTTGAATTATATCTTTTAATGGATTCTTCATGCACATGAATTATTTAGTTTTATATTTTATCAGTATCAAGCGATTAATTTTCAAATTATTTCTTTAAATCTGCTGATTAATAAAGCGAGTGTTAATTAAGCTGAGTTTTTGTATGTAGACGATATCTTTCAGGACAGAGCTCGTGTTTGAAATATTTATTTCCTAAAGACTGTTTGAGGACATGCAAAGACTTGTTCTTAGAAATGTTTAAACTATCTGTCACAACCGGGGTGTAAACATTATGGTTATTAAGTTAGAATAAGGCAAAAGAATTTTAGTGAAGACTACTTTTATTTTTATTGCAAAATAATTGAATTTTGGAAACAGTGGACGGGAACTTCAGTAGAAATTCTTGACAAATTGCATGCATTCGTAATGAAGAACACATAAATAAACAATTGTACTCTTATACAGAATAAAAATGTTCTAATTATTTTAAAAATTGTCATACTCTTACAATTATATAATATTTGAAAATTGTTTAGTTATTTTCTACTTTATTTCTTTTCACATTTCGCTGACTTTACTGAATAATTAACTTCATTTCTATGTTTACAAATAGTTTATGTCGAAATTTCTTGCCTTCTCTGCATCAGTCATGCGTGTATCATAACGAAGCACTTGAGTCTAATAAGCTCTGCTCACTGTACCGTTCCTTAATATATGTATTTAACTAAAGCACGGAAATACGCTGCACATATTCAGTCTTTGTCAAATGGTTTAACTTTGTATGAAGAAGGATATTCTGGATTCGTTTTTAACTTGGCATTTTAAGTCCTGCTCTTGAAATTCTATGCTTGATTATAATTTAATTTTCAAAATTAATTTTTTCTTTAATATGTCCATCAGGTTTTATCCTATTTTTAAGCGTACTTGAAGTACTTTTATCAAACGTGTTTTATTATCGAGTTTTCAAGCGTCTTCTGGAGTCATTTTATATGTTTCAATTTGATTTCATAATTTAAATTTATATTACCAAATTATATGAGCAAATACGTAACGGACATAGTATAAAACATTTCTTTTTTCGTATGTATATGTATGTATACAGGATAGGGTGCCCATGCCAAAGTGATACAGTTTGATTATTCCATACCCATACAGACTTGCGGATCGGCTAGGATCGATGAAACTCAGTAAATTCGTAAACGCAATTATCGTTATGATACCTTTCAAATTAATAAAAATTGGGTACTTATGTCAAAGTTTAATGAACTATCAACCAATCAAGTCTCTGCATTTTCAATGATGCAGTAATCGGACTGTGTCATTTCATCGTGGACGCCTTGTATAAGAAGAAATATAGTTTAATGGCATAAAAACTGAATTTTTATAAAATCATATTAAGGATCACTTTCTTCGCTAGGGTGTGACGGTAAGAAAGAAACATTTGATTTTTCCAGCTACGTGATTCGACTGTGCGTGTTCTTCTTCACCCTGGCACGTAAGAGTATGATACCCGATCTGCTCTGGTGCTTGCAGCAATTCTTCATGCTGCTATATTACACCAACTTCAGCATTAACTTCCTGCTGTACGCGATGTGTGGCATCACGTTCAGGAATTGTCTCCAACAATTGCTGCGCAAAGTGCTGAAGAGCATGACCAGGTATCACTGCAATCCTCAAAGGTACATATAGGTAATACTGCGTCCGTTTCGATCGGCTCGAAACAGGACCGCTGCACGTAGTCCTGTAAGTCTGTGAGCTAAATTCGATTCAACGATTACCATAGTGAAAATAAAAAGAAACTACTATTATGTAGCGTCAATGATTTCGCTCACGTGACGATACATCGTGGAAACTCTGTAGTGATCCGCGCAGTTGTTCCAACAATGCGATAAATTCTATGCATGCATAGATATGTGTATGTGCATTATGAGAATGAAGTATGTGTTTGATGAACAAGTGTCATCTTGAAAAATGATTACAGCGACTACATTTTCGTCAACACTGTTTCCTTTCTGTATTAATGGTAAAAGATTATACCTCACGTATATTTCAAGAAATGATTCTAGATAATTAAACTGTACAAATTAACTGTTTATTCATTCATTTATAGTTTTTAAACAACTTTTCTTTTTCTGTGATTTTCCTTGTATTTATATTATCGTTGCACTTATGTGTATATAATTTCGAATTACTTAAAACACTATATTGAAAAATTATACTGTTCATAAACGCTACTATGGCATTACTGTATAAATTTTAACATTATTATTGAATAATCTATTATTTCCTCAACAATAATGAACTTTTAAAAGGATGATTATCATACTACTTTGATAAAATTATAATATCGCATGAAATATTGATGAGGCAGTGTCAACAAAAGTATAATCGGTGATCTGAAACTGTTACATAAAACGTTTTACGTTAGTTATTCTGATTTATGAAAGTTTCCGAAAGCGATTTAATCGCGTTAATATTTAAATTAGTATTCTTGCGGGAAGCAGAAACAAGTGAAAATGAATTATGAATTAAACAGTTTACTTTCAGGGAAGTTTGGAAGGGTTCAAATAATTATTTAAGTGAATATGTATTCTTAAATACAAAAATCCAGTGCTGTTGTTGCTGAAAATTTTGTTATTGCAATTGAAGAACACGGTTAAGTAAACAGGAAAACAAATATAGCTTGGCATTATACATCAAATGTGATAAAATTGAGTTTTTACATCAAACAATATAGTTGTTTTTTATTATCGTACAATGTACATATTTCAAATGTAAATATTTATTTAAAAGAGAAATGTAAAATTCACAAAAGCTTTTGAAATGGTAATTGATGATACAATCGAGTAAACATTAAAAATTTCTAATACTTTCACGTATGGTTAATTATGGATGGTTTGAAATATTGATAGACCCAAAAGTGAGATTAAATGATTTTCGTTTAGTTCGGTATCGTGATTGCACGCGTCACATTTTGTAGCATAGAAACTACATATGTACGCATTGATGTAAATATTTGTCACTTACAAATTTATATTATAAACAAATCTAACCGACAAGCAAGAATTATATATTAATTATAAGAATTCTTTAACATAAAGAGCTTAGCTGGATAAGGGCGTAAAATGTGTCGAATGAAACATCGCTTACGCCATTCGATAATTTATAAAAAAAGAAACGTTCATTCCAATTTTTAGCTCTATATCACAACCCGGGGGGTAATAATTGGAAAAATTCGAAAAATCAAATTTTGAGGTTTTTCCTTATTTAACGCCTTGCAAAAAATCTGAAAAAATTCTCAGACATGTCCAGCTACACTACGAACATGTCAGAATTTTCTCAGATTTTTTGTAAGGCATTAAATAAGGAAAAACCTCAAAAAACTGATTTTTTGAATTTTCCCGATTACTACCCCCGTATTTTACCGTATTACTCGTTGAGATATAGGGCTAAAAATTTGAAAATTGTTGTCGCATCAATCTTCGACGATTGTGTTCAATATGCATATGTTTATTAATAAATTTAACACAATGCTTACATGCTGTCTTAGTAGTTAATTGAGATAGACAGGAAAAAAAACTAAAACTATTCCATTTCTATATTCTATACGTACATCGTACATCGTACATCGTGTCTTGCGCACGGAACAAGAAAACACACAGTACAAAGGACAAAACATTTGCAGCGCCTGCTATACTACAAATATATTGAAAGAGCAAACCCTTTCAAAATTAGAGTGAATGTTTCTTTTTTGATAAGCTATCGAATGGCGCTTCATTCGGCTCAAGGGCACATTCGACCCCCTTATCCAGCTAAGCCGTTTATATAAATTTTTACCTGAGGCTATTTAAGTGAAGAGGACTGTATATGTAGTATAGAAATTGCTCTATTGCCTGCAACGAGGTGAGTTGAGGCATTACACGAAAATTTTTGGGATGGGTCGGGCAGAAATGTAACATTTTAATCCTTCATCTATAGAACTGCGGACTATGGACTCCTATGTCGAAGTTCGGAGCCATTTCTAGCCGATATCGACATTTCACTAACAACGCACGTTACATACATCTCGTGTTAATGATGTGACGACGCAATTGCGGCCTGAAGTACTTTAAATAGTACGGTTACAGTGACAGTCGTTTATGTTGCATGCAATGGTTCTCCGTAATTCCTTCCCCACTAAATCAACTATACATAGAAATAGTGTAGGTCGGTATATTCGACTAGGTCAAAGCTTTTCGATAATTAGTATTTCTGCTCTGACTTGAGCACCCGGATTGAACGTATTAAGTAGGTGCAACCAAATGTCGGCCAATCTGCACATCAATCAATTTTGGTAACGCAAACGTACCGTACGTTAAAAGAAAGGTAAGCGAGTAGTGTTGTCGGCAGCGGGGTTTATTAATGCATGTTAATAGCCCACCCCAGTGTTGCTCGCTCCTCGCTCGCGGAAAGCCGGTCATTTGCACGAGCGTAATTACACAACTATGTTGTGTCTATTTCTTGTTGACCGTTTGAAATTGTTTTGGACATTGTATGAACATAATATGATGAAATTTGACCTGATGATGCCAATGAAGTTATAGCTATGAATCAGCTATTATATACTATCTCGATTCGTCTCGTTGAATGGGTCAGTTTGTGATTTGCGTAGAAGTAATTACATATAAATATATTATTCAAAAATATGTGTGTATATATTTATTATGTATATGTAAGTCTGCGTGTATATACAAGGTAAATTAATTGTCATTTAAAATAATGTAATATTTATTAATCCTATTTAAAAATGCTGATAGAATAGATTAGTATTTACTAGAATATAAGAATTCAATAAGCTCTGTTAAATGCTAAATTTATATAAAGTACCTTCTATTGAGATTAAAGAGTTTGGTAAAACTCGCATGAAATTATGAGTTGAGATTTTTAGAAGGTTGCAGGAGCGAGGAGAGAATAATGAATATAAGATTCCAATGGTGGGTCTTTATTAATGTTTTGGGATATTCATGATAATCTGTCTGTATGATACATTCAATTCTATCTACATAGACGTGGCATTTTCGATGTAATACTGTCAACTGTCGACAGTGTCGACCGCGCTACAGCTAAAGAGTTTTCAGGCTTATTTATGTACATACATATTGCATTTATTACATATTAATGTTTAATAAGAAATAAATTATGGAATATTATCTTAACACAAACAGATCCAAATTGTTTTATAACTAACAATTTCTGATGAACTTTCAGTATGTTCAAAGAAATTGGTTATAAATTATGTCAAGTAATCCGAAATTGTGAAATGATCAATTTTAAAATATATAATAAATTAAAACCGCAGTTAATGTTTGTAATATCTAATGTAGATTCATTCATGTAAAACGTTGTAGTTTAAAGTGTTTCAATCTTGCCTGTAACTCGGAGAAATTTATAAACGCTTTGAATCATTTAATAAAGTTCTTGTCGCAAAAACAATTCGGAAAATTCTTTGTTGTTTAAAAAAGGAAAATACAGGAGAATGATTCTGAATATTGCCTATTGCAATGAGAAGAAAACTACTGGCATTTAAATTATATGTATATGTATTGAGTACCGAATATGCAGTTGAATTTCAATCGCATTAAGCATATAATAAATAACGGTTTATGTTTGTAAAGTATTCAAAATATTTCGTTTATTGCAATTAACTGCAGTCTTTCAAGTTTATGTCATGTAATTTCATCAATAGAATTAGTATGTAAAATACATTTATGTCTATAACAATAATTAAAGACTCGAAGTATGTAGTTCTCCCACCATTTTACAGATTAGTATTTTAGATTTCATTAAACTTGGACATTATTACATGTTTATTATTAATTATTGTACAACGGTGTCATTTACATTTAAATGCATGCATACATGTAATTAATGAGCTCCTGGTATCTGTGTAGAGTCAACAATTGATCGTATTTGTTTGGCTGTAAATATGAAACATGTATAGTCCAGTAGTATTATAATTAGATTAATTCGTCTGGAAAATGGAGCCCGTTTGAAGTGGAAGTGCATTGTTCTTCTCGAATGTGTGGTGACACGTGTGCGTGATAATATACTGTATGTATGTGCGCCGCGTGTTACGGAACGTTGTTACAGAAGCTGGTTTGCAACCCATATACCACACCCAGAACAAATAAATCCATCCACACCAGTACAGATTTCAAGAATAATATTTACTGTCCATTCATCTGTGAACGCACTCCAGAATTTAATTCCACGTTATTCAATTAAAAAATCCTTCATTCTATATATACAAGAAACGTAAATATACGCCATCGCAGCATCCGATGTGCGTATAACGCGCCGGCCATATTGATGGATTATTCCAAAATCGCGCCGTAGTGAAAGGATTAAGGCATGAGGAGAGATAATATGAGAATCTGAAATTATACTCGCTTGTATTTACTTGAAAAGGTTTTAAAAAGCAATAGTTTCTAACTAATTTGGAAATTTGTATTTCGTGTTGACGATGTATTTATGTATACTATAGTTTTATCTAATGCTGCATAAATTCCTTTGTAAGCGAATAAAGTGAAACTTGGTTCGCTAATCGAAGTTACAAAGTTTCTGCGTAGCCCCTCAGCGTATTAAGATTTAAGACCATTAATGATTGCCTGACAGTCGGGATATGTAATAACGTTTGGGTGTTTCCTCTCGCAACCTGTGTCGATCAATATCTGTTTAATCTTTCACTGAAGTTCTAGACGTGTTAGGCGCCACAAATATTAGATTTCATTAAACTTGGACATTATTACATGTTTATTATTAATTATTGTACAACGGTGTCATTTACATTTAAATGCATGCATACATGTAATTAATGAGCTCCTGGTATCTGTGTAGAGTCAACAATTGATCGTATTTGTTTGGCTGTAAATATGAAACATGTATAGTCCAGTAGTATTATAATTAGATTAATTCGTCTGGAAAATGGAGCCCGTTTGAAGTGGAAGTGCATTGTTCTTCTCGAATGTGTGGTGACACGTGTGCGTGATAATATACTGTATGTATGTGCGCCGCGTGTTACGGAACGTTGTTACAGAAGCTGGTTTGCAACCCATATACCACACCCAGAACAAATAAATCCATCCACACCAGTACAGATTTCAAGAATAATATTTACTGTCCATTCATCTGTGAACGCACTCCAGAATTTAATTCCACGTTATTCAATTAAAAAATCCTTCATTCTATATATACAAGAAACGTAAATATACGCCATCGCAGCATCCGATGTGCGTATAACGCGCCGGCCATATTGATGGATTATTCCAAAATCGCGCCGTAGTGAAAGGATTAAGGCATGAGGAGAGATAATATGAGAATCTGAAATTATACTCGCTTGTATTTACTTGAAAAGGTTTTAAAAAGCAATAGTTTCTAACTAATTTGGAAATTTGTATTTCGTGTTGACGATGTATTTATGTATACTATAGTTTTATCTAATGCTGCATAAATTCCTTTGTAAGCGAATAAAGTGAAACTTGGTTCGCTAATCGAAGTTACAAAGTTTCTGCGTAGCCCCTCAGCGTATTAAGATTTAAGACCATTAATGATTGCCTGACAGTCGGGATATGTAATAACGTTTGGGTGTTTCCTCTCGCAACCTGTGTCGATCAATATCTGTTTAATCTTTCACTGAAGTTCTAGACGTGTTAGGCGCCACAAATAATTAAGCTCTATCATATTGTCAAGATATTTGTTTCGAAAAAAGAAATTTGCACTTCCAAAACGCTTTAAATATTTTGATTTTGAATTTCGATTCGTGTATATTTGCATTGTTTGCGTTTTTTGTTTAGATAAACTTGTCTTTCGCTACATAAAATAGTTTACGCTTAAATTTGTTATAAATAAAATCCATAATTTAATTATACTTATAGTCGATTGGATCGTAGGATCATACGTATACATATGTATCAATCTTGAGCTTTGAGACGGTGAAAATGGGAAACGCGTGGAAATGGGGAAATAAGCGTGGAGTTCAAGGGTGAAATGAACGTGTATGGCATCGAAACTGGCGGAAACGAACAAAGATAAGATAATGTGGGTTTATCAATACATCTATATACATTCTTTATCTATGTATGAAGTATCAGTATTCGTACCAAGTGCGTGGAAAGGTATAGTATACAAGACGGGAGCGGAAAATCAAAACGTAGGAACTGAAAGCTAGAACTTCAAGTATTTTCTATAAATAGAATAGATGATTGACTTCATATTATGTTTAAAACGGAGATTGTAACTGCGAATATTCTCATTATTTTATTTTAATGTACATATAGTGCATTTATACTAGACGTGAATTTTGAGTGGAGGAACGCGTTTTCCATTCTACGTACTTATATAAAAAATATCATCGAAGAGCAATTGTTTAGTCATAGGTAAATATAATTTCTTAATTATCGGACGACCAACTGCAAAGCATAAAACAATTTAAATAATCCAACTTAAAAAATTTTTACACATTTATGATGATCCGCTTCTAAAAATTTTAATTATTGAATTTACACACCCCTTGGGAACTTTCAATAGCAAGTCAGAAGACCTAGTCTCCGAGCGAATACGTGTATGTAACCGTAAGTATATGCAAACAGCAATATACTATCATGTAATCTGACTTAACGATCGAACGAGTCCATTATCGATAACGAACATTACGGCGAGGGTGATTTCTTCTCCTGATTTTATCCTATCAACCATATCTACACCTGTCAATTGTTAAAAAATGAAGCAGCTCGAAAATGTTAATGGTGTTACATTCTACTAATACAATTACTTTATCATATATGCAATTAATGAATGACACCATTTCTTATCGCTTATCATGCTAGAAATAATAATGCTAACGCTTTAAAAAATTGAGTATGAAATAGACATCAAATGAGAATGAGCTATACAAAAATAAGTAATATAAATAGATACGTGAGAAATTATTTTTTTGATAACTTTTTTGGGCGCCAAAATGCTAATGCTACTCTCATTTCATCTTTTTACGATATTGTCGGATAGTCGTATCTAACAAGATTAATCCAAAACGAATTAATTGATTCTTCTGATTAAATTTCGGTTATTACACACCGAAATTAGTTCTTCCTCTTCTTTTAAATTTAATTCATACACCGACTTGTCGTGTAAAAAAAATAAATAATTTTCACTTCGGGATAGGCCACTTCAGGAATCTCGCGGCAGACTAAAGCGCCGCAGTAGTTGAGAATTACTGTTTTACGGAATTTTAAATTGTTTCACAGTTAGTTACTGTTGTTTTAACTGATTGTAAACAGTCTCAACGAGAGAAGGTGGATCGTTATTCCTTCACGATAGAATACATTTGTTCATTCCCACACGCGAGATAGATTGGTATGTGCGAAATCGAATTGAATTCTGATATTTCCAATTTCAATGGTTCCTCTGATTTTAACGAGCTGCAACCAAACCTTTGTTATCGCGCCGCGTGCGAAGTCTACGTACGCGTAAAAATTGCAAAATTCTGATATGTGAAGAATATGACAGCGCATATTTAGGTTCATAAATTTTAGGACACTTCACAAGTACTTGCTACTAAAATTTTGCTAATTTGTCTGAATATAAACATTTTATTTACGAACAACTTCCGGAAAGCTCTTGTTGAAAGATCCATCATAACACATAAAAAGAGAATTTATCCAAATCATAATAATATTGTAATAATTATACGAACGGCTGTACGATAAAAAGATATTTGAAAATCATTGGAAATCCCTTACTATCTAAAGAAAGTGTTATCGGTACAGCGAGTACTCAAGCATTGGCAAAAGTATCTCGTCACGCGACTGGCGATCCAATTATTCGAGAATCCTCGCACGGGATCGTTATATGGACACGAAGGTAGGTACCTATTTTATAATATAAAACCACTTACCTTCGTCTTCCCCGACCCAGTTGGCCCGACGAGCATTAATCCGTGCCGGACTACCGTCGTCTCATACAGTTGGATAACTTTCTTCACAAACGCTGCAATTAAAGAGGCGAATTTTCATTGTTCTATTATCTTGAAGAAATTGTCAGTCGTAGTGTCTCTCCCTCTCGCCTCCCTTTTTGTTCACGGATTACGACTGACGATAAGACTAGGTATCTTTTTATCTCTAATTGTCCCATTACACCCCAGATAATTTTTAGAGTAGTCTGTGTAGAGTATTTCATTCTCTCCTAAGTATTGAATTCCCTTTTATAATCTGAGAAGTTAACTCACGAGTTAGTAATAGCGAGAATATCTTGTATAATTATCGCATATTCCCGTGCGTCTCAGAAGAGACTCTGTTGCTTGCGCTATAATACAAGCTCGTATGAAAGTCTCGTGAGAGCGCGAGAAAAATTTAAAATTAAGTAATCCTTACCGTTAACTCCCTCCAAGTGCATCCTACTAATGGATGCACGAATTTCCGCCTCCAGAATCCCATAATCGACCTGCTTTTCTTCCAACCGTGGAAATAAGTCAGACACGATACCTAATAAATTATACTTTAATTTATTAAAATAATTGCTGATATCTTATTGATGACGATATATTACTTTAGAACGTTAGTTACTAAAAATTATACTATTTATCACATATAATATTATACATATATATATATATATATATATATATATATAGTTTAAGAGAAATTATAGAACAGTTTACTAACCATTAAAAAGCGTGAGATCATCTTTCAGAAATTTTGGTACGTTCACGTCTCTGAGAGCGCGTAAGCATATTTGTTGTTCGTTCAAGTCTTTGTTTTCCCTTTTTAAGTTTCCAGCCACCGCGATCACAGTCTTTACCGCTCGCATTCCAAAGTCATAATGATCCTGAACGAAACGAGCTTCTCACATTTCATTATCAAGACAATTCGAATCTACTAAGAATTTCTTATACTTGTATATAATCAATTAAAATTAAATATAATCTGTATATCCCCAAAATACACGGTTTCGCGATTTTTCGTTAATAACTCGACAACCACGCCTCGGACAACTTTTTTGCAAAGGAAAATATTGTTTAAAATTACCTCAGCTCCTCCCCATTTGAAGGCTTAACACTAGTTCTTGGACACCTTTTACGTATCAGATTATATATGATGACACGATATAATGATCACAAACCTGTGTGCTCAATTGTTCCGAACTCAGCTTGAACGTGGTCGTTATTTTGCCCGCAAGGGTTTTTGCTTCGCTGAAACCATACGAGAATAGCGATATTTCGGCGATCAATGCGTAGTCCGGTACCATCATGGCGACTGGACGGAATAAAGCTTTCAGATTGTCAGGTAATTCTGTGCGACCTGCGTAACCAGGATTCATGGTAATGAATACGGAGCAAGCTGGTTTCAAAACGATTTCATCTCCCTCGAACACGAATCTGCGTTATACAAAATTTGTACAATTAACGGAATTGTATTAAAATATAAAATAAAAAGAATTCGACATTCAGATGGTACTAAATTGACTAACAATAAGAAAATCTTTGTAAACATAGACGGAAAACTCAACCATTTATGATTGTGAGAGGTAAACGTTTTTTATATTTTGGCTATATGATTGATTTACTAGTTTCTACGCATCCTCTGCGATGTGTACTTCATAATCAGTGTTTATGCGTTCTGAATACTCTCGTTCCATTCTCATACATACAATGAGAGATTCGGTCAACACTGGGTAAAGGTAATTTACCGATGCACATATTAACATGTGTACACGCATCATAAGGTTTCACATTGTTTTGGTCCTAGTCTGATAATGAGAGAACCATTGAAATACGGTTCCCAATCAGAAATTAATTGGACAACATGATTCCTTTTGATCTCTTAAATTTCGTTTATGGGAATATTTGCAATGCTAAGTATGGCCTTTACTGAGAAATTACGATTAATTAAACAGCAAAGTCAGCATGTTTATCAAATAATTCTAAAAAAACCTGTACTTTTGAGAAAGCTCAGCAATCGATATTTGATTGTTGATACTTTACGCCGCGATAATTATACCTTTTACGCTTATAAAAGTAGCATGTGAATAGTCGTCGAAAGAATTCATATCGTATAGATATTTTAATCCCATTGCGGATTAAGTACATTACTACTAATTTCTAATATTTCTAATGAAAGTTCTCAGCTTCGCTGTTATATACATTCTCCTCAACGATATTACAGATAAAAAGTGAATGAATAATTTGGATTTTTTGTTTGAGCGTTTTTCATAAAGGGGAAATTTGCATATTGAATTTCAATATGGAAGTGCGAGCGCGCCGATATCATTTGTGTTACTAATGAGATAATTACCAACTGATGACATCGAGCGAATCTTTAATCAGATGCATAAGAGTATCAAATCAGAGGAATCATGTTTTATCACTATGTTTCTTTGTGTGTAATTAGCTTTTATCACTGTAGTCAAAATTTTTTTAGGAAGGAGCTAATTTTATGCATATAATAAATTCGGAAAAATAAATTACCACAGGACATTCTGCATCCTGTAAAATATTACTATCTCTTCGGTTCAAATGATCAAATAAATATTTGGACTGAATGTAGTGTCAATTGATAAAGAAATGTAAAAAAATAAGGGGGGAGGGGCTACTGTCTACCAACAAGCCACATATAAAGAAATTGCTTCATCAAATAAAAGTTCATATAAAGCATCTAATGAAACAAAAGAATAATTAATTATTTTATATAATCGTTATTATTAATTTACTCCCTGTGTCCAGCACAAGGTACTTACTTGTCAACGCGCATCTGTTGTGCCTGCTGAATCGTTGTTATTTGCTGCGCAATCACAGACAACACTTCAATGTCTATTCGGTTAAATTCGTCGAAACAGGCCCATGCGCCCGCGCTAAAGTTTGGCACAAATAGATCAAAGCAAAACAAATTATTTTCTATAGGCCAATGTTAAAGTGGAAAGTGAATTGTCAAATTAAAACAACGTATATTATAAGCTTGAGCAAACATGCAAAGAAGGTCGTTCGTTAAATTTTGAATTAACATTTAAGAAAAAAATATGGAGTTTGTCATTGAAATTTCTTTTATATTAACAATATGCTTCTTATTTGTCATGTGCTAAGATGATATATTTTATTTTTACTTTGTTTAGATATATTTTATGCCGAATGTTTAGTTAATCATGTATTCGGTATGATACTGATATTTAGATTTTTTCAAATGAGCAGTCTCTCTTCTTTTATTACTTTATTACACATATTAATTATAATACATAATAGATGGTGATAAATCTTACCTGGCGAGGCCTTTGAAGAATTTTCCCATCGACATGAAGTCTAATTGATCGGAACAATTGAACACAACACATTGTATGGCAAACGCTTTAGCAAGGTCTTTAGTGGTTTCCGTTTTGCCAGTTCCTGCAGGACCCGCTGGTGCACCACCGAATTTTAAGTGCAGAGCGCCAGTCAGTGTCAGATAACACCGATCGGTTAACGGCGTAATTACTAGTCTTCCAGTATTTCCCAAATACTCGTAGCTTCAATAATAGTAACCACAATTAGAGACAGCGTGTTACAATATGTACAGTGCCTTTTGCAGTGCAAGAATTTGTAAACATTTCGTATAATTCGTCAAATACTGTCTTAAATATGAAACATGTTCTATAATCTTGCACTTGTTTTTAAACAAATAGAATAGCCGAGTTTTCGTGTGTTATAAAGGGGAGACGTAGTGTTTATAGATATATATACAAAATGTTTGCAAATAGCACTGAATTTGAAATATACGGAAAATTCAGGAGTGTCTTATAATTTTATCGCGGAATGTAGACAATATCTGATGTTTAATTCAATAACCAATATCAGGTATTAAATCATATTTAATGAAATCAATAATAACTCATCGGAATTTGTGACTGCAATTCATTAAACTCCATCAAATGAAAAATCTATATTAATTTGTCTTTTAATGAAATATACAGGGAATGTGTTTGACGGCTATTTCAACTGGAATCTTTAATTTTCATGTTGCAGGTATTTACAGTTATATGGTTTTACAAAGAAGGTTTTCGATCGCTATAGAAAATATGTATTTGTTATGAAACGGAGAACCGAAATATAAAACCGAAAAATAATTGTTATGGAGTGGATATAACATCAGTTCTGAAAATCGAAACCAAAACCTACGTAATTCAAAACCGATATATCTAATAACATTGATATCATTTCTCTGTAATTGTTTTGGTCAGAACCGATATATAACAATTTGAAATAGTTATTTCCGGAACCTTCTCAATCCCTGATTTTTAGAATACAAGTAAAGTGATAATAAATCAGATATTCTCGTAATTATCATTAATTATTTAGAATGGGTAATGCGTACCCGTATGGAAATTCGGCATTCACTGCTCGCACTTTCAACTCGCTATCGTCCACCCAGTAATAACGCAGCTGCGAGATCCAGTCGAAGTCGTTCACGTTCGACACCTTCTCTTCTATGAGCTTGTACGTAACATCGCGTGCGTGCACTTCAATTACGATCACCGCTTCTAGCATCAGCCTCTGTATTTCCGTTTGTGGACCTCGTACCAACTCCCGCAGATCGTCCAACTGTCCAGTGAATTTCAACAATAAATGAGACGATAGTAATCCACATATTTATTATTACTGGGTATATCAAATAATAATTTTCGTAATTTAAATCATTTTCTATATATCACAATTATGTTTTAAATAAAATAATTATTGGTAAATTCCATTGCGAAGGAAATACGTTGTGAAGGAAATTATTGGGAAGTTGAAAGACGAGGTTTAGAAATTAAATTCACTTTATCGAATACGTTCCCTGTTTAGAAGGAAAAAATTTTATTCGTAACTTATCACATTCTATATTCTCGCAAAGTTTTCTTCACTTAAAAACAAGCTGTTAATTAATTTGACGATACTTGTCAACTGATAAAGCATTAAATAAGACGTTTTTAATTATTTGTATTATGAGAAGGATGAAAGTAGGAATAGAGAAATATAAATAAGATGAAAGGAATTGAAGGATACTATGAGAAACTAATGGTAGAAGGGGAAGTATACGCTGTACAAACCTCCCCTATGTGATAAATTTTATAAAGATTAGTTTATATAGAATGTAAGTATTCTTGTGCAATTAGTTTCATGTAAACAAGAAGCGATAAATCCCGACAAAGGGAAGCAATAAAGGCATTTGTAGTTTTTAATCTGAAGTTTCACAGGAGGATTAACCATGTTTTAGCTACGTTCTTACCTGCCCAAGCAATTCCTTATAGTAAATCTTGAGATTCTTCTTCTGTATCCCATTCTCGACTTGCGCAGTCCAGTAGGCTTGACCGCAGCAGAGAGTTACTTGGCCAGCCCACATGTAGACCCACGTCTTCCTCGGGAGCGTGTGAACGAGCATCAGCGCTTCGCGGATGATTAGCCTAATCGTGTTCCGCATGACAGTCTCCAGGTCGCCCAACCAATATTCGACGCTTTTTTCCGGGTACATTGGCGGGTTGAGCATTATCTCCTCGCCCTCGGCCGAGTACATGCGCGTGATCTGCAGATCATCCTCGAACCTCACCAGTTGTATGTTCTCGAAGCATTTGCGTAGGTGCGGTTGCACCGCCTGCACGTTTTTCGCCTGGGCGAGGATCTCTAGCAGCTCATCGTCGCTGAGGAAATAGAAGCGTGGGAAGATCTTCCGCTTCATCTCCAAGTAATTCGCCAAACCCTTTTGCACCACTTCGAGTAGGCTCTGGCACTCCTGAAGACTTTCAAGCAGGTTTTGATCCGGGCAAATTTTGATTATCTATTTTAAGATTAAGTGATAAAGGACAAACGTATGAATAAGAATTTTTGTTAAAAATTCATATAAATAAAGAAATTTGATATGTAATTCAAATTGCAATGAAATTCATTAAGAACGAGATTATAAAATCAAATTTTCTAGACTTCTAATTAATGAAATGCTCAACCAATTCATTTTTTCAAATACTCATATGATTCTTCGAACTTAATATAAAATGTGTTTGGAACGGAACATACGTAAGGATTTTCATAAGCATTCTTCATGATTCGCCTCCAATTTCGTTCCATGGCATTGTACTTCCTAGTTTCCATCGGCAACTGCACGTTAATATCCTCCGAGGTAAATATCGGTTCCAGGTACATCCAATCTCTATAATTTTGACCATTAGTTAATCAGCAATAACAAACTTTGGATCGAAGAAGGCCAATATGTAAAGCGGTACCTTTGCACTTCGATCCACAAGTTTAACACTTCCTCAGTTAATTTGAGTTTCCGCTCCCACTCGTTGATCTCATCCTCGAAAGCGGTTTTCAGTGGACTAAACGCGAGCTGTTGAACGCCAAGTATGTGGTTCTCGAGAAGCATCATCGTTTCTTCCGTCACCTTTATTATATAAGTTCCTACAAGTAAAAAAATGATAATGAAACTTATATTTGTTGTAATCAAAACATGATAATGCAACGTGAGGCTGAAACATAATTAAATGAACAAATTCCTATTTACATTTCATTTTCAAGTTTTAAATTCAGTACCTGTTGACTACTAAGAAAGAGAAAACTACTAGAGTAACAATTTTTTAAATCAATAACTTATGCATTTTTTTAAACTATCTTGTACTATTGAAATTATGAAAACTGTACCAGTGGCTTTGTACGGCAGTAGTTCCATGACGATTGTTTCCCACTCTTCAATCATTTTGTTCAACGTCCTCTCAGTGGCGTATTCCTTAGCGGCAGTATCAGCCACAGTTTTGACCAATTCTTCGAACTCTTGGATGCCGAGCATTAGAAGCGCTCTGAACGTCACGGCTGGCGTGAGAGTCATCTGTATACCGGTTTGAGCGCTCAACTGGTCGAAGTGACGATCCTTCATTCCCGGATTTCTTAGAGCTTGTATAAGGGCGATGTACGGTTTGAAATCATTTATCTGATCTCTTATTGCTATCGCAATGGCCTGAATCTCTATAGTTGGGAGAAAATGCGTTATAATAATAAAAAGTGAATAGAGTAATAATTTAATAGAAAAATGTGATTCATTGATAACTTGATAATTTTTTAACATTTCTTCACAAAATAACTTTACTAACAATAAACGTTTTCTAGTTGGAAATTCAAACTGTACTATTAATTACTTTGACTTTGAAAACATTTTCAGTTTGAGAATTTATTACTATGAGAATTGTGAAATATATTCTATGTAACAAGACTGCTGGTCACATAAAAATAAGTTACGGTCAGGCTGTTGTACTTTTACTTCTATTCGCAACACAGCAGTGATTTAATTGATGGTTGCAGCGCAAGGCGCAAGTATGTACTTTGTAGCTTTTCTTACTGAAAACTCACTTGGAAACTCTTGAAACGTTCTCGTCGCACGAGTCATTATCCGATGCATATCGATAACAAGCGTTTCGATCTGAGTACCATCGACGTTCATTAAAGGATTGTCCATCCAAATCTCATGCCACTTGAGCCAATCTACAAATCAGTATAATGCAACTGAGAGAAATGAACCATTTTAAATACTCATAATACAAATATTATCATTTAATATAACATATTATGTAATATAAAAAGATTGTCACTACCTAAACCATAACTATGTACAGAGCTTATCAAATGACTTTTAACTCCGAGAGAATAAAGAGAAATAATATTGAACTCAGCCTTAGACAGATGGAGTGAAGTTAAAAGATGTGTGCACATTTTCAGACTACACATATTGAGACAAAAGCTTCACTCTATTACGAGGAATTTATGTTGCGGAATAGTTTCATGGAAAATACATGTCACGCGAAGGGGAAATATGAAAGAATTCTCATATCGAAGCCACAGATTAAATATCTCACAGGAACTAATATCTGAAAATTCTTCGTATTTGGCTATAGTTGTTTTATATTAAAAATATTTATAGCTAACAAACTAACAAGAAATTTTTTCATTTTTTAAGCTACTGATAGATAAATATTTTCCTATGTTTTTTTTACTAACTCAATGATTAAATAAAAATGTATTAGACAATCAATATAAAAGTTATTTTAAACAATATTTCATATACGATAAATTCTTGCAGTATTACAAGATTCGAGAAATGCACGGATGAATTAGTTTATATAATGAATTATTACTAGAGATAATAGGATTACCTGAGGAAGTGACCCAAAGGCTTCTATAGGGTTCGAACTCCCTCATCAATTTGTACAGGTGCTCGAAAGGCACCACCTTCATACCAAAGAGCTTTTGACGCTCGTTCAATAGTAGACCCATTTCCCTTGCATCGGTCATAGCCTTCCAGACTCGCTTTACGTCCAGCGCAGTCTCGTGTATGCGGTTAATGTCTGTCTGAAGAGCTATGTTTGCCACATTGCTCACCAAAGTATCTATTCGCTCCTCTAACAAGACCTCGTCTTGCAGCTGAATCTTATGGAACTTCTCCTGCTCCTCCACGAACCGTTCATTTGTCTCCTGGACCTAGTTACAATTTCACTGATGTTTAATACCCGTTTGATACTACCGTGTATGATCAATTAGAATTCAACGAAACCTGAGGTCAATTAAATCACATGACGATTAGAAATTATGAATAAAACATTTTCAAACAATTTCATTGACAGTCTACCGTATAAAAGTTTCATTAGTTTTTAGTTACGAATTCTCTATTTTTAGTTCATCAATATTCATTAATTTTATTACGGTGCCTCAATTATAATTTTGTGTGTTTTATTTACTTTTGCTGCTAGTACAGTTTTAGTTTTTATCATGGAGTCGGGACTAAAGGAGAAAAGAAGAAAAGGAGAAGAGGAGTCAGTGTCGGCGTCGGAGCCGTTGATTTCAATTGCCGACTCCGCAGCCCTCGTACACCAATGGTATCGTTTGAAATGTTGATGTTCGATGCCTCCCGAACAAGCGAGTCTGATGAGCCACATTTGAATATCGGTTGTTAAATTTTAAACTGTTTATAGGTGACCCCATAAATTGATAGCTGAAGCAATGAATTTTCTGGACGAATCTCAGAGAACTGGAATTTATTTGATTAATGATAAAAATAAAAAAATTGATTTTAGAATAAATGCATTTAAATTTCGCTCTAAATGTTACAGTTGGTTCTCTTGTATGTATAGATTAGCAAACAAAATAATGGTAATTGAATTGAATAGATGATTCTCAATTCTAATTTCTCGGTTCTAACTGCTGTCTAACCGCTCTTAGAACATTTGAATAAAGATTTATCGTCGTAAGTGCTAAAATTACTTTGTAACAATTAATCGATAGAACTATACACTGAACCTCGTTTTCAATTAAAAGTGGTGAACCGATCGCTTCCCACTTGGCCTGAAAATCTTCGTCGGATATATTCCAGAGAAAAGCATCGAGAACGTCAAAATCGAATTTCAGCGTGTCCACCTGTTCGTCGAGATTCTGAACGCGTAATGGTATTGTTTCCATCCAATCCCGTATCTCGAATATGTGCTCGATGCTCTGTGGCACCTCTTTCAGTTTGACTCTGATCTGTGTGTACTCGTCGAGGATATTATCTACTTCCGCACGTATCCTCTCCGTGAGCATGACCAATAGGCCAGTGTAACACTCGTGTCGTTTTTCCATCAGGAATTCTTTCAATGGTCGAACGTTCACCACGAACGAACCGATGGTAATGGAGTTCGGCAAGGTGACCCCCAAGTTTTCCCTCATCCTGATCTGCAATGAAATCTCCTCCTTAATCTCCGCCGTGGTCAGGTTCTCATCCTGCTTATAGTGCCTGGAATAACCGTGCGGAATTTCATTTAGCTCCTCGTTCAACGTGGTAAATAAATCAAACTAGACGCTCTTCCAACCCTCGATAAGACTGAATTGTTTCCTGAATTAGATAAATTAAATTTTTCATGATTTCGATCTAACAAATCAAAACGTTTCTTTTATTATTTAAATATTTGATGTTTTATATTGTCTGATATTTCGACGTTCATATGTTTTCTATTTTTGGATATCGTGCACTGTTCGAATTCTTTATATACTCATGTTTTGTAAGAGCGCAGCACATTTACTACCTAGTCATTTCTCTAATTTGGTTTCCTCTTTAATCGTTATTGATATCACAGATAATTCGACTGATCTTTAAGTGTTAATTGCATTGAAGAAAAGATTTGTTAAAAGTTGATACAAAATTATTCTATTCCTTGATAACTTCGTAGAAATTTTATCACTTTATGATTGCATCTTATTTTGTATAGTTAAACCATTTAAAAATTCTTACAAGTATTAGACAATTATTAAAATATTTACAGTAGCTTTCTTTTCATGAAACATAAAATCCAGCACATACATAAGCATTAAAATATACATACGTATAATGTATGTATGATTCAAATACATGCATGTAGAACGAGGGTAGTGACTTGAAGAATTTCATTATGTAAATTCTGTGAGTTCATAGTCGTATCAATAAAATGAAAGTACTGCCTAATGCAATATTACTTGAAATTATCGTAAAATTTTTCTGTACATCCTTAAATATTATTTTCATACGAGAATAAACATATTTCGTTTCTTAAAAAAATAAATACGTACTCAATGTATTCCGTGACGTTTAAATTGAAGAACGTCTGATACCGACTGTATTCCTGCGCATAAGCTTTTAACGGTATCGTCGATTTCTCATAAGCTATTCTCAACCGATTGCGAATAATGCACACTTGATACTCGAGCAATCCGACGGAGCTTAAGAATACATCAGAGGGGAATTTCAATTCCGGGAGTAGGAACGGATGCACTTGTCTGATTTGATGGCATAGCACGAGCGCGTTGTCGTAAAGCTCGATGATAACTTCCTTCCAGATGAACAAAGACGTTTCTCAGATAGGAAAAATAAATAAATGCGGGAAGTGCTTCATTGAATTTGATACTTTTATTAAAACAATGCTTTCTATGATTGTTTCATTTTACGGAGCTTGTTGAGTGAATTCACACTTATAAAATCAAATCAATTTCCAAAATATTGATTTAAAAAATTAAGACA